AGCTTATCTAGAAATTATACATTTACAAGCTACAGAGAGGATCAAAACAACTGATATCTTCTTTCTGAGAAATGCTGATATTTGCCCCTTCTTTTTTGCTTCTATTTTAAGGTATTTTTTCATTTCCAAGAGTGATGACTGTTTCTCCAATTCTGTATTCCCTATATGTGATTTCTCCTTTTATACTTCATATTTTCATTTGGAAATAAAATGATCACACTCACCATAGGAAATCTGTACCTGAACATGCTATAGCTTGATTCTGCTTCTTTTTCCCATTCTACTCTCCTCCCTTAAATCCCTCTTCTCCCTATTTACAAAGCTTTGTATATATGTTTTCCATTTTTTTTCTTGTCATCCCCACCACTACCAGTTTCTCTTCACATTTGAAATGTTTCTTCCTATTTCACAAGATCACACTCACCATAGGAAATCTGTACCTGAACATGCTATAGCTTGATTCTGCTTCTTTTTCCCATTCTACTCTCCTCCCTTAAATCCCTCTTCTCCCTATTTACAAAGCTTTGTATATATGTTTTCCATTTTTTTTCTTGTCATCCCCACCACTACCAGTTTCTCTTCACATTTGAAATGTTTCTTCCTATTTCACAATACCTACTATACATTTTGGTCCTTATTTATACTTTTGGCTTCTCACACCAGAGAAATAATGTGGTATTTTCACATATGTCCATTTTGTTTCATTTTAGAGTATGGTCTCAATATGCATCCACTTAACTAGAAATGTCTCAAGTGCCTCCTTCTTTATGGCTGAACAGTACTCCAATGTATTTTTTTAAATCTTATTTTTCCATTCATCAGTCGATGGGCATTTGGACTATTTCCAAGATTTAACTATTACAAACTGAGCTGCTATAAACACAGGTGTTCACACATCACTATGGTATAATGATTTTAATTCTTTCAGGAAGATACCAAGAAGAGTAATAGCTGGGTCAAATTGAATCTCTAGCTTTAGTTTTTTGAGGCATCTCCACAGATTTCCACAGTGGTTGTGCCAATCTACACTCCCAAGAAAGATTGCCTCTTTAATAAAAGATGCTGGAAAATCTGGCTTTCCATACCCCAAAGACTAAAACTAGACTCACGTCTCTCACCATGCACTAAACTAAAAATCAAAATGGACCAAAGGTCTAAATTTGAAAACTTCAGAAACATTTAATCTGCTGGAAGAGAATACAGATAGAACTCTTGAAGACATAGGTGTAGGCAAAGACTATGAACAAAGCCCGGGTCGTGCAGGAAATATTACAAAGAGTCAACAACTGGGATCTCAGCTTATTAAAAAGCTTTTGCAGTGAAAGAAATCACCAACAGAGTGAAGAGACAACACAGAGTGGGAAAATATTTTTGTCAGATGCTCCTTAGACAAAGGACTAATATCTAGAATATATAAAGAACTGAAAATTATACCCCCAAACTTTAAAAACTGAATCCAAAAATAGGCAACTAAAATAAACAGACACTTCTCATAAGAAGTAGAACAGCAAATAAATATATGAAAAAAAATATTCCACATCACCTGGTCATTCTAGAGATACAAATGCAAAAAGTTCTGAGATTCCACCTCATTCCAGAAAGAATAGTTGTTATCAAAAAATCAACCAATAAAAGTGCTAGTGGGTCTGTGGGGGAAAGGGAACCCTTCTTCTTACTTTTTGTGTTGGAAAGGTCTAAAAATTCAGAGACAAGCAGAAATAACAGGCAGAAATGCCCATACTTTCAGTACTCCAAAAATAAATGCCCTATCATTACTTTTTCTGCTATCTATCCTTCTATGTTTCTCAAGTAAACAGACTCATATCGCTCACATTATTATGAAAACTGCTTTTTGAAATCAATTGTATTTTCTAGATGTTTACCTTCTGCTCTCTTTCTCTTTCAGTTCAAGTGTGCTCAGAATAATTCCCTCAAAATATTCTCTACAGTTTACTCAATTTTAAAACATTTCTCCATTGTTAGGGGAAAATATAAGATATGTACATGGAGTTTTCAAATTCCTTTTTCCAGCCTTGTTAGAAATGTATATTAATCTATTTACGTTTTTGAATAGAATACAAATTTATGCATATCACAAATTTTAAAATTAACAAAAGAGGCAAATATTTTCTTCAACCTCTTCCTTTGTCCTTGTTTTCCCTTTCTATTCTCAAGTATCTCAGAGTTAAAGCATTAGGTGGGTGTCAGAACTCAAGTAAAACAGGAGGCTCCCAGGGACATGGGCTGCCCGACTTGGGTGAACAGTGTCTGGTGAAGGGAGGAGTGCGTGCAAGGAGCGGACCCAGCCCTGAAGTGGGCTGCAAAACAGTAAATGGCAGCATATTCGTGCAACGTGATGACGTGCATGCGGCGACAAATATAAGTAAAATCCTGACATACGCAACCTAGTAGAATCTTAAAAAACATTTTGCTTAGCCAAAAAAGACAAACTCAAAAGTGTACATATGTATGAATCCTTTTTTGTTGTTTTGAAGTTTGAAGATAAGCAAGATTAAGCTGTGGTGACTTATGTTAGAAATTATTTCTTCTGGAATGTACTGACTGACAATGAACAAGAGAACTCTGTAAGAGATGAAAATTTTCGTATTTTGATCCAGGTGGCAGCTACATTAGTACAAGAATTTGCGAAATATCTTTGAACTGCATTCTATTGTATGCAGTTATATCTAAATAAATTTGATCTTTTATAAGCTGAGGATATCTCACTGGATCCAAAGAATCATTACTTAAGATGTAGGTATCCCTTTAACCAGACTGTTAGCACCTTAATAGTAATATTTATCCAATCACTATGTTTTTGAGTATTCCACATTATAAAGCATGAAGAAACATTAATTAAACTTGGAAATAAACTGAACTCCTGTTAAGCACAATCTATGCCTGGCACTGTTTAATGATGTTATTTCCATTCCACGATTGTGAACACAGCGTTCCCTATTTCTGAGCCATGACTTTCCTCTGTACAGCTTTATATCATACATGTCCCACTGTGTCCATTACAGTGTGGTAGGAAGAAGCATGCTTCATTGGTTTTATTCTCTAGATCAGCTAATTCTCTGAATTAAACATTGGGAATATCCATAAATTTGAATATCACACAGGAAGATGATTCCCTCTTCCTGAAAAAATGTGGTTTCAGCTCTTTGCAGCTGGGAGAAAGAAGTTTCACAGCATTCTCAACCAGGCACACTTTAGAGTTCCTGCCATTCTATAGCTCAGCCCTGTCCAAAGTTCACTAGGGTGAAAATCCTCACCTGCACTTTCCAAGCAACTGAAGAGCTGGAGACAGGTATAATTTTCCCCTTTAGATGCACTCAAGGAGAGGCACTGGAAAGCCAATGCCTCTTGGTATCACCGCGTGTCCTCCTTCCCTCTCCAGAGGTGGACTGGAAACTTGCAACTCCAGCCACACCCTTGGATGCTGACAGCTAGAGCCAGGTGAAGACTGTCTCTGGAGCCTGATTCTGTAGGTGCACTAGGGAGCTTAAGAGCTTCCAGAAATCCAAAAGCTACACGGAGACGGTGAGAACGAAACGTATGGTGATACAGAGATTTATCTGCAGCAGACGTGGGTCCTGAAGAAAGAGCCGCTTGAGTTCTAGGACGTATGGTGAGAAAAAGGTCCCTTCTTTCCTGGGAGACAAGACGCAAGCGCTATTTGTGGTAAGTAAGTAAATGAATGTAAGAAGGCTGAAAACACACTGACTGAGAGAGGTGGACTAGATCTGCCTACCTTCGTTTCCCAGCCTGGAACTCGGTGTTTTCAGTTTTGTGAGCATCTGGGAGAAAAGACGAATCTAAAGAAAAGCAAGAGTCCACAGAGCACAAGAGAATAGTTTATAACTTTCCATAACCACTAGAGAAACGGTTGGTTTTCAAAGAGAAAGAAAGAGAATCCACTGGGAAAGGAGTGAGAAATGGTGTCTTAAGGTCTGAGGAAGGAGAAAGAGCTGGAAAACAGTGTATAAAGTTAAGTCTTTGAACGAAGGGCTTTTTCTAATCTTCATTCTGCTAGTTTGGCTTTCTCACTGCCCTTTTCTACAGGGCGCCGCGCTGTCAACGTAACCCTTTCCTTCTGCAGTGAAGATGGGGGATTTTCCCACTGTGTCTCGAGCTGGCTCTCTCCTCCCTCTTCTCCTTCTCCAGATGTCCACATGGTGCTTGGCAGGTCAGTGTTCTGCCACATGCATTTTATTTATTGGCTTGTTTCACCTGGCTCTGGTTGGTTTTCAAAGAGAAAGAAAGAGAATCCACTGGGAAAGGAGTGAGAAATGGTGTCTTAAGGTCTGAGGAAGGAGAAAGAGCTGGAAAACAGTGTATAAAGTTAAGTCTTTGAACGAAGGGCTTTTTCTAATCTTCATTCTGCTAGTTTGGCTTTCTCACTGCCCTTTTCTACAGGGCGCCGCGCTGTCAACGTAACCCTTTCCTTCTGCAGTGAAGATGGGGGATTTTCCCACTGTGTCTCGAGCTGGCTCTCTCCTCCCTCTTCTCCTTCTCCAGATGTCCACATGGTGCTCGGCAGGTCAGTGTTCTGCCACATGCATTTTATTTATTGGCTTGTTTCACCTGGCTCTGGCATAGAAATGAAAACGTTTCATCATTCACTGTCCAAGGACCACCTGCACAGCAAAGCCCCTTATTCCTTTGGGTAGACCTTGTGGAACTCAGACCTGTAATATTTATTGGCATCCTCACTGACTATATGGTTGAATTTATTTACTTTTCTTGTCTCATTTGCTGAAAAATACTTTATAATGTTCATACACTGCCAAGAAAATCTAAGCACAAAGAATTGAGGCTAAGGATTTACAAACTCTATTGGCTGTAATTTTTAACAAATCACTCAGTCTTCCTGGGAGGATATGAGTACTCCCTCCATAAAGTAAGAGGCCCTTGTGATGAAGTTTTCAGACTCCATGTTTGGAAAGAACCCACACATGAGACCATAGAATGATATTATCGTTTCTCTCCTTAACCTGATGGCAGGTAGTGAATATTAAAAATGTTAATATCTATACATCGTGACCCAGAAACTCTCCAATTGTTCTATAAAAATGTTATGTGTGGGGCTGGGGATTTAGCTCAGTGGCACTGTCCCTGCCTTGCAAACACAAGGTCCTGAGTTTGATGCCCAATGGTACCTCAATCTGTAAGCAGAAATGGAAAAGTCGGGAGCACAGGGTCCGCTAGCACACTGACCACTGTCACTGCCTTGACCAAAAGCACCCCAGTCACATTTCTGGGAGAGGCTAGCTGGGGCCAGTTCCTCTAAGTGCAATGCTATTGCCTTCCATACTAAACCCTCCTGGCCAACAACAAAGCTGTGCCTTTCTGAACCTCTCTACCCCAGAGCCACCACATTTGTAGACCTAGATAAGTGCTACATATATGTTTCTGTGTAGTATAGATATAGGCAGATATACAGAATATATATATATATACATATATATAT